CAAAATGTTTATAAACATGAAAACAAACATGTTACAAAAATAAAATTTTCATTTTCATTTCTCAATTGTGAAAACTCATTATTTTGTAAAAACATGCATGAATATGAATTTGTTAAGAACATGTTTTTGACAAAAAGAGTTTAAACGCATATTGAAACTTTATGAAATGTCTTCATAAATATTATAACACATGAATATAAAGTAAACATGGTCAATAAAATAATATCACAAAGTTTTCTCAAAATAGATCATTTCGTGAGAAAATCCAATATTGTGTGTGTATATGATATTGAGCTTAGAGTATTAAACACACATAATATAAACCTATACTAAATATACCCAAGCTTGATGAAGGTCTTCAATGAGTATGACTTGGTAAACTTTGCGGAAGAAGCTTGTAATTGGATCTTTAACTTGAATTGACTTTGCTTCACTCCACAATTCCGCCAACCTCCATTTGATATGATCGTTAAGGCTCGATTCCATCCATCCTCCAACTACGTTGTTTGTCTATAATAAATAAGAAAACACAAATACTAGACAAACAATATTAGTGGTAAATTGTTTGTTAAACATCATCAAAACAAGAAGGCCAACAGGTTGTCCATAGAGTAAAGAGTCACCGGCATAGGTAAAGATCATGTGCAAGCAGCGATCGATAAACGATCTTGCATGTGTTTCTAGGAGATCCTCCTGTTTGTTTTTATTGTGTAAGAAAGTCTTATAAAAAACTAACTTTCTTTTTTAAATATGTAAGACGATAAACGTGTAATGGATTCAGCAATGAAAAAGATTTCTAACGCAAACAATCCACAACACTATATTGCCCGTCACAATAAAACTCAGCGGTGAACCATTTACATGAATGATCTCCCGCTCAAGACTCAACTATCATACATTTCACAATGCTATCTCTTGCAAAGATCTATAATATCATTGCATCACTATGCGAAATGGACTACCTATTCAAGCATCCTAAGTAAATACTGTCCACTAGCCATATCGCATCATCGTGCGAAACAGACTATCTATTCAGGTGTCCTATAGGTACGGCTCATTAGCCTCGTCGCATCACCATACGGAACGAACTGTCTCCTCAGACATCCTCATCTCATCACCATGTGGAACGGACTACCTTCTCAGGCATCTTATAAATACGGCTCACGAGCCTCATCACATCACCATGCGGAACATATTAACTATTCAGGCATCCTACAATAACGGCTCAATGGCCTACTTCAACGATATATCGACGCACTACCTTAAGCAGTACTGAGCTATGCTCATCAACGGTATCCATACACACACATATATTATTCTAACTAATCATCTTCCCATCATGGTAAAAATAATGCATGCAGCTATCCCCTTCCCGGAAGTCCGCGTGTGCCAAGCCTCCATAGGTGTACGTCTATGTCGTACATGTAAATTATTGTACGTCTCGAATCACGTATTCATGAACAACGTGCAAGAAAAATTATCACAAACAAGACATGATGTCGGTCGACTGCCCTAGGGCATTGGTCGATCGACGACCAATTCGCATAAACATGCATTAAAATAAGCTTTAGTCGAATAAGAATTACACAAACTCAGTGTGAGATTGGACGACCGATGCACAGGGTTCGGTCAACCGACTAGAGTCTAGGACTCAGGTTTGAGTCTCGTGAAGTTAAGACAATTTCAACAAAAGGAACTTATAGAACATCCTTATAGGGTATAAAAACATGTTTACCCATGTGTTTAACATACTAGGGTTTGACTAAACAATTATTTATCATCATAACATGATCTTTAGGGTTTAAAAAAATACATTAAACATAACTAATCAGATCAAGTTTGTATAATTAGGGTTTAAAACCTAATTAGTTCATCATCTTAGCAATTAACCATAGTTCTAAACATAAAATTAATACATTTCCTTCATTTAGTATTTATATTCACAGATCTATACATCAAACTAGGGTTTTTAATCCACAAGCTAATATCACTATATTAATTCATGTTCAAGACTCAAGTTCTATACATCGACAATTAGGGTTTAGGCCATGTAAAATAAGAATTATCAATTAATCTAAAAACTAATGATCATGATCATTTATTTTTATCAATTAAAGATTAATTCTTCTGATCTTTTTGTTGTTTTAAGATTTAACATCAAAACTAGGATTTAAAATCATCAAAATAAGCATTACACATTAGATAACCAATTATACATATTAAAAATATGAATTTCTACAGGGGATAAGTATGGAGGAAGATGATCTTGCCTCAACATGCTGTTGAAAAATCCAAGAGTGCAAGCAAACAGGTTCTCCCTCGCCAAACGTCAATGAACTCGCCCTCTTCTCGATATTTGCTTCACAAAACTCTCAAAATTCACCAAAATATGCTCTAAGATTTTTTGAGGGGAGAGGGTGGCTGCTAGGGTTCAGAAATATGATGTAAAAGGGAATTTTTTGTGAAAAATATATGTATATATAGAGGCAAATCTGAAACAAATAAATCTAACCTGAAGCAGGAAACCCAGTCAGACTAGGAAATTAGTCTTCGATATTTTGGCTATTCATCCGACCTCGGATGAGGTTATTTAAGATACGTTGGAAAGGTATTGAAGAGATCTATAACTTTTGTTTTTTGAGTTTTTCCAGATTCGAACTGAATCGGTGTGTAATACATATATACTCTTAACTAGTTGTTTTTCCATATTTGAATTGCATCGTTGTATAATGCATATATACTCATTCATCATTAAATGATATTTATCATAATATAACTCATTTAATACTATTTACCATAATATTTTTAAAAATTTTACGGGGTTTTACATTTGTTAAGAGTAAATATTTATTTATGCAGGAAAATTGATGTTGTAGGTGATATAAGGCCTACTGCATGTTACGGATCATACTATACTTTCATAAAAAAATTCAACCAAGAATGAAGAAGTGGCATTGGAATGCCTACAAGGGCAATAACTTCGAGCACTGCATATTGTTCGGACCTCCAGCACATGATTGACGGGCACTAGAGCATGTGCTATGTCATTATGTTCGCAAAAATGATGAATTGTCCTTCCTCGATTCCAAAAGCGAGTCAATATTTTCAGTCAAATTGATGAAGAGTGGGTACAAACTCACACAGGTTTCCCTATTGGTGGGTAGTTGATCTATAGGAATAGAGACCCTCACAACCGACTTTGGATGGAGTACTTTGGAGAGAAGAAAGAAATACTAAAGGCCAAGGCAAAGGCAAAGGCAAAGGCCAAAGATAAAGAAGAAGGTGGTAGCATGAGGAGATATGTTGAAGAGTTACTAGAGACACTTGTTGAGTCAACCTCAAAGAAGGACATTGAGGATTTTGTGTTGCTTTAGGTTTTGTACCAGTGTGTAATGATTTAGTGCCCTAACAGCTCACAAGGCATCCCAAGACAGTTGTTTAAATATATGGATAGTATTGAGAGTGTGAAAATATTACTTGAGGTAAATTTATTTTTAATAAGACGAAGAGAGGCATTCAAATTTTCATGGAAGGAATGAGGAAGCCAGGGGTTATATACGTACCTAGATGCATGCCACTCATCCCTATAAGTTGCATGTTCATATGGTTTATTTTTTGTTTTAGTTATTAGCAGTTTAGGTAACAGGCATGAGAAAACATGTACAATATTGAATGTTAACAAGATATGGTAAAAATTAACATGTAAACATGAAACTTAACATATGAAAACAAAAGATAACATTAATGTGTGACAGTTAATATGTACCCATAAATGCTAACATGTAATAGTGAAAGTTAACATTTAAGTGTGAAAGTTAGCTATTTAGACTGAAGTTGAACAAAGAGATTTGAAAGTTAGAAAAATTATGACAAATATTTGTTGCTTCTACTTCTTCTTTTTCATGTTATCCATAGTTTTACTAGTTTATAAAAGCTTAAATTTTCATTCATTCTATTTTGACAGTATGGTACTACGAGATGACGAGCATTAAAAAACCAGCCCTTAACTTGAGATGGAAGCATCTGTTAACCAATTGGGTAAGTGTTGGAGGGATGGTTGGGTCTTTGAGAAGAGAGACAATTATTTCTAAGGCAAGTAAATCAAGCATTAAAATCTTAAAGAAGGTAATTTCTCCCAGCAGCCTATGGGGTGAGAAATAGCCTCAAAGGGAGCCCAGTGGGAAGAAGAATGATACCTCTCATCGTGGAAAGAAATGAATCCCCATGTTTGAGATAGGAGTAAATCTGTAGAGCAATCACTACCGAGGAAGAAGGAGAAGAAATAAAAGGTTAAGGATGATGAGTCAGAGAATGTGAATGATAGACCTAAGAGCTCATCCATAGGCTACGTAAGCATCAATTATTCTTTACACATTCTTTCATATTTATATTGAATTTTTTTGTAACTTTATCATTATTACATTTCATTTTGCATTGTTTCATGTTAACTTTCTTTAGGCGTGTTAGTGTATATTGTTTCATGTTGAGTTAAATGTTAATGTTCAGCAGAACATGTGAATTCTTAGCGTAACATGATAACTTTTATCTTTAATGTTATCTTTCATGCTTACATGTTATTCTTACATATTAACTCTAGTTATGTACATGTTAATTTTCAGATTAACATGTTAACTTTCATCCTTACATGTTAACATTTCAAATTTTATGGATTTTCATAACTATTATCCTTAATTTATTCATTGCTTATATAACTATAATGGCTATATTGTTATTTTTTTAGATTTTCTCCTAGCATATCAGTGATGCTCTTGAAAGAGAAGATGAGATAGAGAAGTTACCAATTGATGAGCAAATTTATTTTTGGAGGAATACGGTCAAACTAAATTGAAAATTGCTCCATGCTGTCAAGCGTAGTAGGCGTCTTTAATGAAATGCTTGTTCCAAGGAGATACAATGGCTTAACAGGAAATTGGAGATCTATGAAGGACCCACTGATTTGATTGAACCCGAAGACCTGAAGAAGAATGTGAAGGCTATTTATGGCCCAGAATGATAGGCATACAAAGACTGCACATAAGAAGAGGAAAAGTAGTTTGGATTCTATTGATAGGGGTGATGATATTGGTTTCTTCGATTGTGATGATGTAACCAATATTGAAAATGAAGCTTCTCATATTGCGGAGGAGGTTGTGCAAATGGAGAAGGAAATAGATGAAATAGAAGAGAAAAAACAAGAAGCTGCGCAAGAAGATAATGAGATAGAGAAGAGAGAATGGCAAGAAATGGAAGTTGAGAATGTGGAGAAAGTTGAAGAGAAGAAAGAAGGGGAAGAAGATGTGTTATGGGAGAAAATTGTTTTCATTGCAGAATTCAATACAACTTTGGACGTTACAATAAATTCAGAAAAAAATAGTATTTTTATAAGACTTTCAATACAATGAAAAGTAAATTACAACTCTCTTTCAAATAATACGCAACAGGTGTTTATCGCCTATCACTTTTTGCGGGATCTTTATCGGTGCCTAGGTTTATCCATGGATCGCCTACGGATCAGATCTGGTTTGCAGAAGTGGTATCAAATCTCCTACTTCACTAAGGAAGTATTCGCTGAAGTACTAAGATCGACCAAGCGAAATTAGTACTCTTCTCGAGATTAAGACCAAGCCTAATCTCAAGGAACGAATGGGGGGAGGGGGGGTAAGGGTTCAGATCCTTCGAAAGCCTTCCTCTTTATGCTAAAGTTTGTCAGGATCTGACTTGTATTCACTGTAAATTTGTGCTCCTTGACTCTTTATTCCAGCAGCACCTCCTCCTTTTGTTGAAAATCCCCCCTTAGAACGGAAGCCTTCATTTCATATTTATAGGCTTTGAAATCGGTTGATTTGGATAAGAATGAAGTATTTGGTCATATCTTCAGTCAACAACCATCTACTCAAGTTTAGATATGATGTGCAGGTAGTTATGGAGGTTTCGGAATAGAAGAAACTGATAGAAACAAACTAAAACGAGTTTTAATAGTTATAGACACGAACAATACAATCTGGCTGACAGGGGGTGGCGGGTCACGGCAAGTAGTGAACGACCACACAACCGTGGGTCACCAATTGGTGACGCCGCACAACCCACGGGTCACCAATTAGTGACCCGCGCGTATGTAGGTTGCCAGTCGGTGACTCGGTCTCGTGCAGGTTTTGGACTTGGATTTTTTCCAGAATTGTGTTTTTTTATGATTTCGTGTATTTGGCTATCTCGTTGATTCGTAAGCTCCGATGATTGATGCGCACAAGCTGAATGACGAGCACGTTCGGTCACTTAGAGCTGACCGACGTGCATGAGATGACTAACGAGTGCGTTCGGTCAATTGGAGCTGACCGACGCACGTGCGCTGATTGACGAGCGTGTTCGGTCACTTGGAGATGACCAACGCACGTGAGCTGACTGATGAGTGTGTTCGGTCACTTGGAGCTGACCGACGTGCGTGAGCTAACTGACGAGTGTGTTCGGTCACTTGGAGTTGACCGACGTGCACGAGCTGACTAACGAGCACGTTCAGTCACTTGGGGCTAACAAATGTGCACGAGTTGACTGACGAGTGCGTTCGATCACTTGTGGCTGACTGACAGACACGAGCTGACTGACGCGCGCTAGCTGACCGACGTGCGCGAGCTGACTGACATGCGCGGGCACTTGGATAATCCTTCTTGACTCGGATGATGATGCTTATCATCTTTCCTTCGTCTTGAGCTATGTGTGGACACCTATAGGTATTTTTAGATGCCTACAGATACCACATCCAAAGTATTTCAGACTCATTCTTTTATAGAAGAGACTGAAATGCTTTAGATGTGATAGGCCCAACCTTCAGTCAGTGGGAAAGAACTTGTAATTGGCTTTAGCTCTTGACTTCTTTAGTCTTCAATCTACTTAATATTTTGTCGAATAGATAAAGTTCTTCTGATGTTGTGTTTATCGTCTGACCGTTGTTGAAGTCTTGAACTAAAGTTGGTATATAAGTTTCTGAACTTAGCTCGTGTTGTTAAGTTAACGTTAAACTGATCATCTTCGTCAGGAATTCATATCTAGATTGTAATTGAACTCACTGGAATCATCCTTTAATCTGAAAATTTTCCTTAGCCTTATTTTAACAAAATTGTCAATGCGTTGACCGGTGTTAACACAGTTTATACTCGTAAGTTTGCCGGAGTCTACACAGTTTAAGCTCTTAAGGCATTGGAGCATGGCGATCCCAAATGTTAGGGCTGTAGGACCAACTGTTAAAGCTGATTCATCTGTATGTATGGATTTTATCCTGAAGTTGTTGGATCCTTAAGTCACGAGACCAAATAATGGAGCTGATGTATCAATGACTCTCCCATTTATAGGATATTTGGCAAACCCTCAACCATCAATGGGTTTGATGAGCCTTTACCGACTATCGTTTGAGTCGGGCTAGCATACAGATTGTTTAAGTCCGTTTTGCATATAACGTTATGCTAAGAGAGTCAACTCTCTTAGTGCTACAATATTGAATACATAGACTTCATCTTTTCACGGGAATAGACTACCCGATAATGCATGTTAGGTGTTGACTTATCCCTACTTAGGCTTCGGGATAAAAGTCCCTAGATTTAGATTCTGGTATTTTCTTCAATCGATGAAAGACTAAATCGGCTACCCGTATTAGGTACTGACTTATCCCTACTTAGGCTTCGGAATAAAAGTCCCCAGACTTGGATTCTGGTGTCTTCTTTAATCGATGAAAGACTAAACCGATAACGCATGTTAGGCGCTAGCTTATCCCTATTTAGAATTCGGGATAAAATTCCCCATGCGTAGAAGGCACGGATTATGATGTTATTAATAACAACCTGCCACAATATCGAATATATGGGCTTTTGTCCTTTTTACGGTCAAGGACTAACCAACAACATATGTTAGGCGCTGACTTATCTTTACTTAGGCTTTGGGATAAAATTCCCCAGACTTGGATTCTGGTGTCTTTTTCAATCGGTGAAAGACTAAACTGGTAACACGTGTTAGGCGCTGACTTATCCCTATTTAGGATTTAGGATAAAATTCCCCGTACATGTGAGGCACAGATTATGATGTTAAAAAGATGGTGTCTTCTCTTGGGGCAAAGATAAACCCGCTATTAGAAATGGAGAATTTTATATTCTATTTCCAGTTGCAAAGAAAACTCAAAGTAGGATCTTCACTCTGAGAATCCGGGTAGGTGAAACTAAAAGTAGGATCTCCACTCCGAGAATTGAATAGATTCAGATAACCCTAACTTTTATAGGGTTGATTACCTGATCTAAAAATGAAATTCCAACTTTTGTTCTAACTTTTATATGTTTGACCGAAGGGGAAAAAGAGTGAAAGCCTTTCATTTATTGAAAGGAAATTCTAATTTTGGTCCTAACTGTTTACATGTTTGACCGAGTGGGGGTTTGAGATAATCCTAACTTTTATAGATTTGATCGCTCAATTTGAAAGTGGACCTCTCGTTCACAGAAGGAATCGAGAGGTGACTTTGGTTGTGGTCCTAACTGTAAGAAGATTTGACCAAGTGGACAGTGAAAGTGGGAGTATAAATTACAGTGGGAGTATTGATTCATACAAATCACTCAAAGGGGGTTCCTGGTGTTAAGTGACAAATACTTAACACGAAGGGGTTTTACAATCGTCAACGATCAGGATATTAAAATTTCAAGTACTATGCCTGGACTCTGACAATGGGAATGTTGAGTGCACAGACACATCGGAAGTTTGAGTGAATTAGACCAGAAAGAATTTTCATGGTCCCACTGTTAATTGATTTGATCAGTGAGGGATTTTATGATGGAGAACTATGAATCATCAAGCACTCTACAATCACATAGTGGGAGTTTCTTGAGGGAAGATTGATCCAACAAAGTGATCAAATCCCGTCTCAGCAAAAGGGTGCTTGAAAGATTACAGAAGGAGTTGGTGAAATTCATCCCAGAAGTGGGATGCATTTCACCCTTGGAAACATTCAGAGTCCGAGTGGGAGTTTCTCATTTATCCCCGTTTATAGTAACCGGGTTATCCTTAAGAATACCAAGCATGACATTCTCCAGGAACTTCATGTTATATGGGTTATCCACCACCAACTTTCTTTACGAAATTGGGTCTAATAAGGAATACATTGTATTCAGCTGAATGGTTGGGTTATCTTTAAGAATATCACATACGATATTCTTCTAGGAACTTCCCGTTAAAATTAGAAAACAGTTTAGACTCGTATACCTGTTGGAGTATACAGGGAGCAGTTCAACCTCATGCACCTGTTGAAGGAGATGGAGAAGTAATTTATACTCGTATACTCTTCGAAGTGTGCATTTGGCTTAATTTAGCGTTATGATGCCAACTTCAACGCGAGCTGACTGACGCGCGCCGGCTGACCGACGTGCGTGAGTAGATTGATGCGTGCAGGCACTTGGATAATCCTTCTTGACACGGATGATGATGTTTATTATCTTCCCTTCGTCTTGAGCTGCGTGCGGACACCAATAGGCATTTTTAGATGCCTACAAGATGATAGTGAGAATGTGAAGAAACAAGAAGAGAAGAGAGAGGAAGATAAAGAGGAAAAGAAGAAAGGGGAAGAGAAATAGGAGGAGAAAAAAGAAGAAGAGAAAGAGGAGGGGAAAGTTGAAGAAGAGAAAGAAGAAGAGAAGAAAGATGAAGAGAAAGAGGAGGGGGAGAAGGAGAAGAGAAGAAAGATGAAGAGAAAGAGGAGGAGAAAAAGGAGAATGTTGAAGAGTCATCCTTTGAGAAACTCATTGCCAACCCGAAGGCATAAGTTTATTGGAAGAGATCGAGGAAATTAGCTACAAAGGGGATAAGGGGACCAAGTAGCAGGATTAGGATGCGATCACAGCTAGTCCGAACCTCATTGAAGAAAAGAAGCACGAAGTTTGTCCAAAGATAATTACAATATCACACCACATGGATGATGAGAGGAAAAAAATCAGGTACTACTGTAAGCCTGATGAATGTAGGTGAGATTTGTTGAAGACCAGGAAAATCAACATGAAAGAGGAGGCTCTTCTGAAGTTGTTAATGATTTAAGTGTTGTATTGTTGATGATTTTAGCATACGCTTGGTTGGTAGTGAAGGAACATTCGTTCACAACTTCAGAATATCCTATTATGTAGCGGCAAAGCTCACACCAGATGAGAACGGATGGGTCTTAAATTTTTGCAATCAGAAATCCCATCAATAAGTTTAGTTATTCTCATTAATGTTTGGTTGCATATTACCTGTGATCTTTTATATATTCGTGTTAATGTTTGAGTATAAATATTAATATTTCCCGATATATATTAAC